GAATAAGACAAGCTCTCACTTTACATTGTGCACCAGAGTCCAAAACGCAAGCGTTTCCTGTCCTGCGTGACTGGGCATTCATAATTCAGAGCATGCCCTTAAAAAAGGGAGGGGGAGGTTAAACCCCCCCCCCCCCCCCTGTGTAATTTAAAGGCCTTAAGCTGACTTGAACACTCCATCAGAGCGGATAAGAGCAAGGAGTATTTTGGGTCTTGAAAAGAGTTCTGACATAGGATTATGAAAAAAATGTGCCCTTCCCTTTTAGGACTGGCTGGCAGAGTATTTTGCCACCTCCAACACTATTGGCAGACACCAGATTGGGATAGCCTGGTTTAGAGCTTCCCTTTAACATCAAAGGCATGTAGCAGATGATTAAAACTATGCAGAGGCAGCTCCCTTCCTATAGAGACAGGAATTCTGGGGTTCTTTTCTCCAGCAGCTACATTCCTGGCCTTGGGCTGTGCTGGCTAAGGCTGATGGAAGCTGAAGTCCTTCTGGAGGGTGCAAGGCTGGGGAAGGCAGGTCTAGGACAGGTGCTCAGACAGCCACTTGAGCAATGAAAGTCAGGCCATCTTCTAGAAACCTTTAAACAAGTTATCAGCTGTTAATACTGCAGTGTGGTGTGTCTGGAACATCCTCAGTTTCTTTAAGTGCACACCAAGCCTCTTCCAAACTGGCCACGGTAGTTTCAAACAGGAGTTGCAGTTCAAGACATCTGGAGAAAAGCAGCTTAACAATGCTGTACATTTATTTTAAGGGGGATGTGAGAAGCTAGACCCACTCCTTTTTGGCCTCCTCTCCTGCAGGTATTTTCTGTCTCTTTGAAAGCTCCGGAGAAGAGCGGGGTCCCTGGCTCTCCGCCCCCTGCCGTGTGTCAGGCATACTTGCAAAAGCAAGAAGGCAATTCTTATCCCAACAGAAACCAGGACAATGCTTGTGAGCGGCACTCCAACTGTATCTATAGACAAAAGGATTTCAAGGTGCTCAGAACCACCCTGAGCACATTTCGATAAGACATCCAACAAGGCACAGTCCTGATCTACAACTCTACACAAATCGCAGTGAGCCTAATCCAGAATTTCAAGGGAGGGGCTGGATCCAAAGACATCCTTCTGCAAGCAGCAGGGGACACTGGATGGAGATCCGAATTCCCTATCTTTTGTTGTTGTTGTTGTTGTTGTGGTTAGTTGCGAAGTCATGTCTGACCCATCGCGACCTCATGGACAACATTCCTCCAGGCCTTCCTGTCCTCTACCATCCCCTGGAATCCACCTAAGCTCATGCCCACTGCCCCAGTGACTCCATCCAGCCACCTCATCCTCTGCCGTCCCCTTCTTCTTTTGCCCTCAATCATTCCCAGCATTAGGCTCTTCTCCAGGGAGTCCTTCCTTCTCATTAGGTGGCCAAAGCATTTGAGCTTCATCTTCAGTATCTGGCCTTCTAAAGAGCAGTCCGGGTTGACCTCCTCTAGGACTGACCGGTTTGATCGCCTTGCAGTCCAAGAGACTCGCAGGAGTCTCCTCCAGCACCACAATTCAAAGGCCTCAATCCTTCAGCGCTCAGCCTTCCTTATGGTCCAGCTTTCACAGCCATACATTGCAACTGGGAAAATCATAGCCTTGACTAAACGCACTTTTGTTGGCAGGGCGATGTCTCTGCTTTTTAGTACACTGTCTAGATTTGCCATAGCTTTCCTCCCCAGGAGCAAGCGTCTTTTAATTTCTTGGCTGCAGTCCCTGTCTGTGGTGATCCTGGAGCCCAGGAAACTAAAATCTGTCACAAGCCCCATCTTCTGCAGCCCTCCAAATCGGCCCTGGAGTACTGGGGACCCCCTGCAGCAGATGGAGGGCAGCAGTGGGAGCAGAGAGAAGAATGCCCTTGTTGCTTAAGCAGCAGTCTGCTCACCTCCCATTCCCTTTAGCCCACTGCCAGTGCAGAATACCTGTAATTTAGCTCCCAGCATAAGATTCTTGCCTTAGCTTTTCCTTTGCTATTCCATGCACCTCTAGTCCCCTAGTTCTCACCAGGTTCTTTTCCTCACACGTACATAGTTCACTTTTATTTGCCAAGTATCAGGAAGGAGGAAGAGGAAAGTCTAGCCTAGTTCCACAACGAAGGGCCCAGAAGTGTAAGGACATTTCAATGGAGACCAAGGCCAAGATATACACATGATTGTATCCCTGGTCACCATGTGTGGGTGTGAAAGCTGGCAGGAAGCACATTGAGGCTTTCCAAACATGTGCTGGAGGAGAGCTTTGTGACTGCGCAGGTCCGACAGAAAGATACACAAGTGGGCCATAGATCCAATCAGAGCAGGACTGTCCACAGAAGCAAAAAAAATGTCAAAACTGAGGCTCTTCTACTTCGGGCACATCATGAGAAGGCAAGACGACCATCCTGCTAGCACAGGCAAAAGAAGAAAAGGAAGGCCAACTATGAGATGGATGGATTCCATCAAGCGAACCACAGCTCCCGAGTTCACAAGCGTTGAACAGGGCTGTCAGGGACATTTTGGTGAGCTTTCCTTCACAGGGACGTTATGGGTCAGAGGCGACTTGACGACACGTAACCACAACGCACTGGCTCTTGCTGTTATCAGAGCACTGGAAGACCAGCTTTATGAAGGAGAGGGAGATGGACTTCTTTCAGCCCAATTCCACCCTAGAGAAGATCCTAGGGGCACATTCATGGTGCATGGGGCTGAAGGCAAAAGGGCTGCACCAGCAGGTGCTAATTTAAAGTTCTTACGGCCGGTAACTAAACCCTAGAGAGCTACTTCATCAAATGATCGGTGGCTGGCAGCTAGGGCATGCAGCCGTTGATGGCCTGCAGGCAGGCATGATTTGGGCTTGAGGGCCTTCATCCCTGATGCAAACCTTTTTTCCTTCTCTCCCCTCTTCCTTCTCCCACAATTAAAGCTTCACAACCCAGTTGACAAGGATCCCTAGAAAATGGCTCTGCTTACTTCAGTGTGTCAAGAAAATATGCCAGCACATCCTGCAGCTAATCTGACTGCTTGAAATCAAAGGGAGGGCAGAGGATTCTAATTAGATGTTCTGAATTGAAACTGGGAGGGAAAAGTCACACTGCACTGAGACAGGTTTTATCTGCACAAGGTGCAGCGTCTCTCTCAGCCTGAGGTCCAAACTCCATTTCAGAGGATCTCTCCAGGATCGCAGAATGGCCAAAGAAAAAGGGGCAGAACCAAAACACCAGTGTCTTGTAGCTCAAAGCTCTCACGGCCAATAATGGGGCCTTAGGAGAGGCATTTCAAAGTTTAGGAATGGGGCGTGGGGACTGTGCAGAGCTGGGAAGCCACTAAAGAGGGGATGGAGCCAAGGATGAGGTGATGGACATCTGGGGCACCTGGCAAGGGCAGACTGGGACCCCAGGATCCGGCCCACCAGCTAGAAGATGCTTCTGTTCTAGCACAGTTTGTTTGCCAAAACATTACAAATCAACATGTCCTCTGATGGGATGGGGGTGTCACACTTCTATACAAATCTGTCTACTAAAAGTATTCTGTGTCCAAGGGTTTATTCTCCCACTTTTGTGCTGGTGGGCAGGCTAATCTAAGTGACCAATAACACACTTTCCTTATTTATCAGACCAGTCACACTGGTTTCAATGGGACTGCTTGTATAAGTAAGGTAAGCAGGAATCAGGCCCAAGGTTTGATTTCCATGGGGCACAGTTCATGGGATAAGGCCACTAGGAAGAAAGGCACATGGGATTTTATTAAAAAAAATACATAAATCTGTTACGTTACCTAAAAGTATAGCAGAAAGCACAAATCCACTGGGGGTGTGGGAAAAGGTCCCAGAATCTCCAAATTGCATTCTAGCATCAGCATAATTAACCTTTTGTCTCTATCAGTCAAAAAAACCATTGATGAAGTCCTATCAGGAGGTTTAAAAACTCTCAGTAATAACTTCCTGTTCAAAATATGAACATTAAATAAAGCAGTCAGAAAAACTGGACTGTTCAATAAGTCTAGAAATGATAAACACCAATAACTATAAATAGAATTCATCATCATACTAATAAAAGCAGGATTTCCCTTTAGAGCAATTAAAACAATATTTACATACATGACAGAGCAAAGGTTTCTGGGTTGCATAATTTCAAGTTGCAAATGATCCCTTTCCCCACCTTGCCCATTCATAAGCCTCAGAAAGAAAGAAAGAAAGAAAGAAAGAAAGAAAGAAAGAAAGAAAGAAAGAGGGAGG